CATTAGTTTTTTTAATCTGCTTCGAATTATTTCGAATTATTTTGCGTAAAATTGTGTTATTTCTTGCGTAATATTGCATAATTATCTTATGTAATATTTCGTAATTATATATTTCGCAATATTGCGAAAGTTATTACATAATATTACGGTTTCTTACGCTTCGTAAATTATTGTGCAATATTACGCCCTATTAAATTTGCTGATGTAGATAATATCAATATGTAATTTAATAAGATTAGGTAACTAATATATATTACAATACAGCAATAAAACTAAAATCAATATTCTTTGACATAATCTATTTTTGCTCAAATGAAGCCTTTATTCATTTCTTGACGAAAACTCATTTTAAAAAAATTATGTAAAATTTCAAGAAAAAATGTACTTGTCACCGGCAGTGACAATCCCCAGTTCCAGATTAGGGATCAATTTGGATCTAGATTGGGTTAGTTTGGTTTTTTTTTTTTGATGATCTAGATCTGCTTTTGTTCGCATTTTTTATTTTTCTTTTTGCTTCGCTACAAAACAGGTAGAAGATTAGAACTGAGAGCTTGCTGTCTTCTAACCTTTTTACTTTTGAAAATATCTGTTTTTTTTTTTTCGTTGTTTGCATTTTTTTTTTTCTTTAAACTTACACTTTCTTTTGTAGATTTGTTTCGCTGGAGCCGCCATTGTGGTGTCATCGTTTATAGAGATTTTGGACTTTTGTTATTTCGGAACCGTGCTTGTGGAGATTCAGGCTTCGTTATTTCATATCGTCATTGGTGATTTTAGGCTTTTTGTCATTTCGGTGACGTCATTTGTGGAGATTTCAGGATTTCGTTGTTTGTTCAGTGACATTTTTGTGGAGATTCTTCAGTGATTTTAGACTTTCGTCCTTGAAGTGTTTCTTCTACGTTCTTTTAGGTAGGTCTTATAACTGTTATTTGGGATTTTCTTTTCTTTTTCTTCAACTAACATTTCTTTAGCCTTGGAGCAGTTCCGATATGTCTTTTGGTTTTGCTTTGCTAGAAATGGGATCTTGTGAGATAAGAGCAGTAGTTTTTTTTTTTCATTGTTTTTTCAATTCTTTTTTTCTTGAATTAATCTTCTTGGCTTTGGTACTTGTTCTGGTATTTTGGTGTCATCATTTTGAAAGCTTTCATTTAAGATAAGTAATTTCTCCTATTTTGGATTGATTGTTTTTTTTTTTTGTTCTTTCTCAGTTTGAGCTAATTCTTTTCTTGTTAGAATAATAGGTAAGTTGCTTTGATATATCATCGTTGTTGTTTTAGCCTTCACAGGTATTATTTCACCACCATTATTGAAGTCTTTTTTAGTGGGTTTGTTGTTTCTAGCATTATCGTTAAAGCCTTTCCAGGTATTATTTCGCCACTGTTGTTGAAGTCTTTGTTGGTAGGTTTTGTTGTTTCAGCGTCGTCGTTCTTTGGATTTTTGGCTCTTTTCATATTGAGGCAAGAGGGAACTTTGTTGGAGGTTCATAGCAGTTTTAACATGCAAGTTGATTATCAAATTCGGGTATAGATTATGTTTGAATCGCGAAATTTTTTGTGTGAGGATTTTTTTTTTTTTTATATATATATCTATATATTTTGCTAAGCGCGAAGTTGATACTGTGCATACAGATCTATGATGTTATAATATTGTTGTTTTTTTTTTTTTGGTATTAAGGTGATCTCTTTGGTCTGGGGAACTTTTTATTAGAGTATAGACGAAGTTTTATATATAATTACAATGATGGTACATCAAGCCA